TAAAATTAATAGAGTTTTCTTTCTCAAACTCCAAAGTGAATGTAAGTGTACACCCTAAAATTACATTCACTTTGGAAATTGAGAAAGAAAGTTCTATTAATTTTTTAGATCTCAGAATAATGAAACTGGATAACAAACATAATTTTCAAATATTCCATAAACCATCACATACAGATAGTATCATACATAATACTTCCATGCATCCATTTCAACACAAAATGGCAGATTTCAATAGTTTGATACATCGATTAGTAAATATTCCTCTTTCTAGAACCAATTTCAACACCGAGAAAAATTTAATCAAGCAAATAGCCGTGAATAATAATTATAATCCTGAAATAAATATAATATGATATTAAAGAAAAACTTCAAAAAGGCGATTGGTTCGGTTTATCCCCTAGTCAAAAACAATATCAACTATAACAGTCTTACATACATCGGTAAGTCCAGTGAAAAACTCAAAACTCTTCTTTTTAAGTATAAAATCCACATTGCTTACCGTTCTGGAAATAACTTGGGAAAACATATCAAAAATAAAAAATTTATTATTAATATACTGCAACTCAACGGCTAGATCGACTTGAATGAATTTTTGTATATCCTAAAAGCTTGCAATGTCATGGCAGGACAACGTCTGTCGTGTCCGCTAGTATTTAATAAAATCAAGCAACTCCACGGCTTCAAATTTTGGTTTTAGGTGCGAGTTTTCTCGAATCTCGTTCAACTCCATTTGAAAAAGTATTGCAGCATTTTGTACAGTACTTTTTGTTGAAGTAGCAGATAAATTGAAACAGTTTTCCGTGTTTTTAAAATAACTGAATCTGTTCGAAAATTGCTTCGACAATAACTTGAGTTATTCAGCAAACTGAGCACGAGCAATATTTTCATGCGTATAGGGTGTGATGGTAAAGAGTATAGATGTGGTAAAATGGTAAAACTTTTACCGGACAGCATATGTGTCTCACACAATAAACGCTTCAAATGGCTGTATAAATCATTTAGTAACTGTCTTTGGTTTTGTGGTTTCAAATATAAATCATTCAAATGGCCTGTAAGATCGACCACAAATGCTAAGTCACATATCCAATTTGGGTCATTCAATTCAGATAGTGGTTTGTCTTTATTTGCATGAAGTCTCATAAAATCTCATTTCTAAGCTCGTAAAACCTTTTCAACATTTTGTATTCACATACACTGACTTCACAATAATGTGTTACGGCGTCATATTCGGCTGATATTTCATTCAAAAATGCCTTGAACGGACGATGGATTAAGCCCTCGGGATCGAATGAAATTGTTGGTTTTCACTACCACATTCTTAACATTCTGCAGTTGAAAGGACTTAGAACGCAAGTTCTGTAGGTGCATAATGCAATGAAGGACTATCAAATCATCTTTTTGCACATTTAATTCAGTTGCTTTTTCATTCGAAATTCCGAAGAAGCGTTTACGTAAGCCGACCATAGAAGGTGCACCATCGGTGCATACTTCAACTAATTTTGACCATGACAAGCCCAAACTAGTGAGAACCTTTTGAAGTTCATTATGTCAAATGTCCTCTCCTTCAATGGTCCTTATATTCAAATGTCCTCTTCTGTAGTGGTTCCTTTTGGCGGCTGTAAATTATGCAATTCCTCAGTAATAGTGAACTCTTTATCAACATCTCGAATAAATATAGCCAGTTGAGCTGTGTCAGACAAATCGGTGATCTCGTCTAATGCTATGGAAATGATTCAAAACATCCATACGGTCAGTGAATGTTGTTTTTATATCATAAGCCATCATTTCTATACGTCGCACAACGGTTCGTCTTGACAAACTATTTTTTCAATTTCATTTTTCTTTTCAGGACTCAAAACACTGCAAACTTTACCACTTGATAAATTCTCCTTCGGCAAATGGTTTAAATGACTTTGCTTATTTTGAACTAACTATAAAACTTGCTTTTACAATATTATCAAGTTGTGTTCTTTGTTTATGAAACATTTGCTGCCGAGTTTCTGAATTTCCGCTAAGCTTCTGGATTTTGTCTATTCTCATTTGTCCTGTCAGTAAGAGCAGCGTAGGATGTTTAGTTGAGTTATGTCTCTCTGATAGTATATAAAATGAGTACTCATATTTAGCTTTTTCATAATTTGTCCTAGAAAAATGCTCACTTCCCAAATATGTAGAAAGTTCAATTCAACAAAAAATAGAGACTCTGTTAAATAATAAAGACTTATTTCTATCATAAACAATATAAGTTCTAAATATATAAATTATATATAAATTATATATTCTCTTAAATAAGTAAAGTTTTCAAATTGTTCTTCATGACATTTTGCACTTACATGGTTGTGTTTCAGGTCTGATGTTTTTCAATATTTTTGTGAACTTTATTTCCAGTAATATGAAATATAATTTTTTCCTCTATGAGGTCGATTATGGAATATTTCGGGAAATTTCAACATTAAGTTATTGTTACATTCTTCGGGACGATATCTCAAATTTGAATCGGTGGTGTGAAAGAAGATTTCTGACATTGAAATTTCTAAATGCATCATAATGTCTTTTGCGCATAAAAAGAATATAGTTCATTTTAATAACGACGTTATGATTAAGGAGTAAGTTTTGACACGAAATTAACTTTTGCTACTCTTATTAATAACATTGTTTCAAATTCTCAAAAAACATTAAGTTTTGTAGTAAGAAAATGGCTTTCCAAATGTCTTTCTCGCTCTGAATCAACTATGCTCATATACAATATCTTCATACGATCGAAACTAGAATATGCGAGTGTCGTTTGGAATCCAGGATTTGTGTGTTATATTACAAATCTTGAATCCCTTCAAATACAATGTTTGAATTATTTCATTAATCGATTGGTCCGATAGTTATGAAAATCTAAATACATAATTTGAATAAAACTGAGTTGTTTTTCGATTTTCACTATAATCAAATCGAAACGTTGAATCAAAATGTTAATGATAAACTGACCAGTTTATTATCAACATCTGATGAAGGCACTGTGTTGGCGAAACGATATTGTCATGTATTGGTTCCATTATAGTGAAAATAGAAAAACTACTTAGTTTTATTCATTTAAATTTTGAATTATTTATTGGTTTGCTCTGACGGTGTGTATCTAGAACAAGATATATCTCAAGAGTTACTTAATACCAAATTCAATGTTCCATCAGATGCAACACGTGAAATATTTAAGAAGGAAATACATAGGAAATTTTCTCTTTCTTATAAATTTCCGTGTTCCGAAATTACCTTGCTGAAACACGAAAATTTTTCATCCACTACGGTCTCGTACTAATGTTCTGGCCTTTTCACCTCTGTACAAAATTTTTGGTGACCTTGAACCTCATCATGATATAATTGACATATTTGCATGAGTGCCAACTGATATCAGACGAGCTTACTGGTTTTTAGATAATAGTTAAGATATGAATTTTTTAGAAGATTACTTTTTCGTGTAGTTTTGTTAGTGAGCTTAAACGTCAGTTTCTCCACAGGGTTATATCGTTCATATATTTTGTTTGTGACTTTTCGGTTCTGTTTCTAGTTTTATTCTACATAAGTTGGTAAATATATTGTATTTTTCGCACTCTGTAATTGGCCCAAGATGGTTGAATGGTGTGTTTATATATAAGTAAGAGGAATTTAAAAAAATATCTATCATGCCTCACGTTCACTTACAACGTTTTATTCATGTTCTTCAATAAACGTTATAAATATATGAACAAGACAGAATAAAAAATAATTGTTAATGAAGATAGGCTCAGTAAATTTTTCTGGATGAATATCGAATACTATACGAAGCCTTCGCGTCTGATTAATAACCACCCTATTCATTTCTGTATAGTAGCCCCAAAGCAAAATATCAAAGTTATTATAATTATTTTTTTGTTCTACGAGCGGAGGTCAGAGACCTACATAGTTCCGATTGGACTTACAGTTTAACGCCAATTTCGGACGGCCCAAGAACCTGGTTGGAATGAAACTCACGATAGTTTGACGAAAGAGTTAAACGAAGATCGTCAAACTGTTCGACTACTCAACTTCTGAATACAGATAACTAGATACAAGACGAAAATACACATTCATAACACAGCCTCGTGTTAACAATATTCATAATTCCAGAGATTACAAGTTGTTCAATTAATTTCGACATATATTTCGAAAATTTCACTGATTCAGATGATGTGATAGTGTAATCTCCTCACCTAACATTCCACGAAAGGTTTCATTTCCTCAAACAAAAATGGACACATACGGTTTTATCAACGTTCATCATCAAATTCAATTATACCACCAATTTAAAAGACCCTTGCAATGAATTCCATAAGCCTCCAGAAATTCCACAAGACACATACTAGAAACAATCACTACAACATCATCGGCAAAAGTGTCACCAAGAATCGAACAACTTCGCAGGCAGATCATTTATAAATAATGTGAATGAAAGAGGTTCAAGTACAGAACCTTGAGGCACCCCAAGACCAATATTTGGTCCCTGAGAATAACTTTCGCCTATTCTCACAACAGCAGTCATTTTTTCTCAAGATACCTTGCAATCAATACATGAAAATACCTCCAAAACTTGACTTTTAGCAATTATCGAGTATGAATTCAAAAAAAGAATCGAATACCAAAAAAAAACGACAAATACAACCGCCAAAAACAATGTATTAATCTGAACACTCATAAACGGATTCAAAAAACTGAACTACAGCTGGTTATGTTGAGAGACCGCTTCTGAAACCATGTTGTGTAGCGTCAAATATTCTGAAACAATCATTCTGGTGAAATTTTTTTTCATTTACCTTGGCAAACACGCCCAAAATGGATATTGGACGATAATTTATTATTTCACGTTGACTTCTATTTCTTTTTAATTCAGTGAACCTACAGTTTAACGAAAGGTTGCGAACGACCAACAGGTTTGTAATAAATGCACATTATCCAACAATTATCATCATGAAACTACTTAAATCATAGACAAACACAAACACCCTTCATCTGGGTTCGAACCCGAATCCTACCGCATCATAGTCGGGTGTTCTTCCGACTGAGCTACGAGGACCTGCTACTTCTATTCTTAAATACAAGAATCACTATAGATCGTTCAAAACTATAGGAAAACTCTGAAATAGAAATGGAAATATTGATGAGATATGCAAAGTCTCACCAATAATTCTGCTAATCACTTTTTAAACCTTTGCCGATATGGAATAGCGACGTTTTTAAACATTTCGGAATATAAAGAATTTTGAAAAATTGTTAAGAAATAGGAAAACTTTCGTAGTATTTCATTCGAAAACGTATTGAATCAATTGGGTCATACTCAAGTGTTATACTCAATAATTGCTGCACTTGACTTGACACGTGAAAGAATAATAATTCGATATATCAAAACATTCAGTTCTGTGCATCAGTCAAATCTAGTTCAATGTTTATTAATATTCTACTTCAATTGATCCATAGAGACGACACACTATATGTAACAGATAGGTCAACTTGATTGAGAACGAGAAATAGTTAATTGTATAATATAAACTATAATATAATTCAGAATAAGAGAACTTAACCTGAATATCTAGACCTGAAATTTGAGAGAGATGCTGACAAAACATTGTATAATAATTGTCAAGGCTTACAACAGAATGAAAAAGTATAATATATAAAGAATAGATTTTTCGAGAATTCAAGGGTGTATTATTTCAGAAGTGAAGTTGATGTTATCATGAGACTCAACCTCAAATAAAGTTCATATTTTATGAAAGACAAACTGAAAAAACATCGGAAAACAAATAAGAACAAAAAATCAATACAAAAAATAGAAGAACCACATGCATTTTTTGGGAGAACCACCTACATTTCCTGACAGAAATTGAATCGAATGAAATCTATTGAAACCTAATCAAAAATGAAATATGTTCTCAAATTAGCCATATAAAACATCTCAAAATAAGATAAGTTTTATTGAAATCTTGATAAGAAGTGAGTAGTCAACATTTTGTGTAATATATTAAATGGTTTCCTGTAATTCAAGAGATTTTGATTTTGTAATACAATTCCATGATGATATATATATATATATATATATATATATATATATATATATATATATATATATATATTCATTTTTTCAAAATCCACAAATCATTCAAACTAGTAAATACTGAGAATCTTAGTCGAAATATCAAAATATTTCGAATAAAACTCTGAGGGATCTGTCAACACAAAAGTTCACTATAGCTTTCGAGAGTGAGTATTGAGTGCGCTTCGCAAAATCATCGAACTTGTTGAATGATAAAAGGATACAATTGTTTAATCATTATTATGAATCATCAGTTCTTATTTAATCAATCAATCAAGAATCGATGACTTTCAAAAAGCTCCCAGGTCTTATATCCGAATAAGGAGAACAGTAGAAGTTCGTGAAAATTCACGTGAGCTCTCTCATTAGAAAAGACTAAAAGAAAGACTTATAAACTGTCCCTAGCATTCTAGATTCCTGTCATGACAACATTAATAAGAGTACAAAGAGGCTTTGTAGAAATTTCATTCCAAACCGACAGAACTTAGTCTGCAATGTGTACCATGCCTAATATCTCCAGATCACGCCCAGGCGGGCAAAAAGATAGCTAGTTTCAAGATTTACCAATCATTCATACTAGTGAATACTGAGACTCTTAATCGAAATATCGAAATAATTCGAATGAAACTCTCAGGGAGCTGTTTGTACAAATGTTGTCAACGAGAACTTACCTATTACTTTCGAGAGTGCATATTAAGTGCACTTGAAAGTCATCGATCCTCGATTGATTTATTAAATAACGACTGACGATTCATAAATAAAAAAAAAACTATAAACTCTATAACGAGTATAAACTCTAGGATCCGTCTATAAAATTTATGAAGGAATTCTCATAATATAAGCTAATCAAAAATTAATCGTTTACTGTAAACGATTAATAAAATAATTCGGAATTTTGGCTCAATGTTTCACGAATAAATTGAATAATAATACAATAAAACTATAAAAATGTTGAATATAAACTTAAATTCAAACACTCGAACTTATGATCTACACTTTATTAACTACATAGCACGATGAGTTTTGTCGTTACAAACGACTTTTTCAGATGCTAACACAATAATCTTTTCTGTATATTTCTGAATTATTCTGTTATCATCTGAAGAAGTAGTTTGTAACGACAAAACGCGTCATGCTATGTAGTCAATAAAATGTAAATCATAAGTTCAAGTGTTTGAATTTAAGTTTATATTCAATTATAATGGATTTGCATCATTTAAACGCCAACACTATTCAATATATAAAAATGTGTAGACATATTTCGAGCGGTCAGTTCATTATCAAGACTCAAGAGTCTGGTTGATGAGTTTATTGAGATTGTTCAAAATTATTATTTAATTATGTTTCACCAAGAAAGTGAGCGAAAATTCATTCTCAGATATTCTGTTAACCCTAAAGGGATTGATGAATACCTTCAATGTCGTTACACTATATTTTTACACTTTTCTTTTTACATTATATAATTTGTGGTTTTAATGCAAACAAATTATAGAGAAAATAAGCTTTATATCCTGGAGCAATACGTTTCTTCAAACTCATCGTCACACATTGATCCGGCGTGGCGCTCTACATGGCTGCGATTTCTATTATACAAAGAGATATTTGCATATTTTCCAGATGTGATGAACAGCAATGGCTCCTGTAGTTACTTTATTAGGTTCCAGGTCCTGATTCATTTCAGAATGTTTTTTGGGTTCCCTCCTTTGGATCTTAAGATTGACACTATCTTTTTTCTGGATCTCCTTTTGTCATTGTTGATACACGCACACTATGAGGTCACGATTTTCTTTTTATATTTTTTCAGAGTGATTACGAGTGAGGTTGCTAGTGTTTTGAATTTCTATTCCGATCAATGCGTTATTTCTTACAGTTTTATCAATCAGGTAAGTTGAGATGCATAGGTTAATCTGTCAACAGAGTGCTGTTCCAGTACAGTCAAAAGTTTCCAGTTCTCCAAAATGATCCCGGAATGTAGTTGTAATATAGTCATTTACAGTCTGAAAGATTTCGAAATTCAGTGTTACAATCTGTTGTCTAATATTTGGCACAGTTTTTGCCCTGTGGAACCAAATATTTGATATTTTTCTGTAAGGTGCCCAATTGTCTCTGGTGTTTTTCATTTGTACTGGCTTATGTCGTCCAACACTTTTACCATCCTCAAGTATAAACAGGGTAGGTATTTATTTCGCTCGCACATTCAGGTATAATGTTTCCAAATTTTTTCAGCGGTAACTTATATTTCCATACAAGTTATCGATATGAGTGGTATGACATTTATATACTTCGAAGGAGCAATGAAGAACTGAGAAGAAGTAAATATTGATTGCTTCAATCACAAGATTTTTAGAAACGAGATTGTTCTCCACCACCAATCTCACAGTGATCCATTCCTTCATTACGTGATGACTCTTCTTTTGCTCCTGTTGTTCCTCCAAGTTTCTGTTAGTGTGCAATTAGTCGCGACAATTCTTCTTGGATTGTCGCGATTTGACCTTTCACTCACATCGGAAAACTTGCATTTCAATATAACATTCAACGATATTTTAGGCGTTAATAGCGTTAATATTATTGTTGTTACCATTTTCGTATAATATATATATATATTGTTATATATATTTCATATATATTTTCCACAATCACAAAAGCAAAAATTAATATATAGGGATACGTTTTCAATATCCTCGAAACGATACATACACTCAGAGTTTATTTGGTAATTGAGTATTCTTGCATTAGAAAACCTGTGAGAAACAAATAACGAGCCTCGAGTTTTCTTTCATAAAGGAATCTCAAATTTTGTTGAGTATTTTTCAGCTTCAGAACCAGAAATACGAATTGAATATTTATACACAGAAAAATGAAAAACTAGATATTCAAAAAGTTCCGAGTATATTCTGAAATTCTAAAACTCTATGAGTAAATACAATGAAAATACAATGAAATATTGAAACCTTTTATATATTTGATTAATTGATTAATCAAATGTATATAACAAATTCGTCACACTTCATAAAGAATATCTCAGAAGATATTATATGTTAGAAGAAAAGGATTGATTCTACACTCTTTTCGGTCTCATTGCATCTTGAAGGAAAAAAACAATTTGTGGAATTGCTTCAGTAATTATTCCCTATCTGTTACTCATGATAAAGAACTGATAGCATTTGATTGATGAAAACTAATACTAATTTGATTGAAAACAAAGTAACGCTACCAGACTGCAGTCCCAAACAAATAGATAGAAACATCGATAGAAAACCAAGTAAATTTATCCCATAAATACGAAAAAATATCATATATTTTAGGAACTCACCCAAAAACGATTGAATTGAAATCACAGATTCAACAATCACCAACAGAACCGAACTTGCATGCTACGTATCACAGAAGCGAATGAAAGAAAGATATAAATGCGTACTCGAAAACGATTTGATTAAGTAATCAATTCATCTCCTACATTCCGAGCTATGTGTAAATGATAGTAACATATTTCGATTTATATCTGCAGAAGTAATTGAATGAAATTATTCATGGATTTTTGGGACGCGAGATCATTCTTCCCTAATTGCCTAAACGTGTGCTTTTCATTCCAGCGTTGTACTTTCTATTCAGCGGAATGGATTTTTCATGCTGTATGAAAGATAAAAAAATGGATTTATTCATTGAAATCACACTTTATCGTATGATGCTCTATAAGTAACCTGAAAATTTTTGGCTTGAAATGTGACTTTGTATTGTTGAAAACGATGTCAATACACTAATACTGTCATTGTTCTATATTAAAAAGAATGATTTTCATGAATTGGAAATACTATGCAAATATTTTTTCATTTACTTGTTCTACATTTTCTACAAAAGGAATGTCAGTTTCATCCAATGAAAAATTTGCCTTAATAGAGCAACTGTGGTTTTTAGGAAAGAAGAAAATTCTAGGCTCTCCTTATATAAACTTAAACTATCAACATGGCTTTCGAAACTGAAAT